TTAGATTTTGAAGCCATGATGTTCTTCTTCTGCCTGGACCTCATTTGTCTTCAATCTTTCCCTGGAGAATTAAATGGAGTATGCCGCATTTTTCTGGGTGTCGCATTACATGTCCGAAATATTCTAATTTTCGTTTTTTAATTGTTTTGATGATTTCCCTTGGCTTTCCCAGATGGCTTATCACCTCCTCATTTCTGATCTTGTCAACCCAGCTTATACGTAACAGCCGCCTATAAATCCACATTTCAAATGCTTCTAGTCTCTTCAGGTGGCCTTCTGTCAGAGACCAACTCTCTACTCCTTAGAGCAGGATAGTAAAAATATAGCATCTGACAAGCCTGATTTTCAGTCTGATTAATTGTCCTCACTATTAGGAAGTTTCTCCTTAATTCCAAGTTGCTTCTCTCCTTGATTAGTTTCCATCCATTGTTTCTTGTCCTGCCCTCTGGTGTTTTGGAAAATACATTGACCCCCTCCTGTTTGTGGCAACCTCTCAAACAAGACATTTTGACTTTGGGAAGTCTATTAGAAGTAGAACAGTAATGGGATACATTAAGGTTCTTTTCTCATTGCTAACATAGTATACAAATGAATTAAAAGCAGGTTGTGCACAAAGATAGTGGCAGGGAATAGGTAGGTGCCAGTTTTTTCCTGCACATTTGTGTAATTGTTGTGTGGACTTCCATTCATATTTGTCCCAGGTTTACTGGTGATCTGGGTAGGTGAACATCTCCTATTTGGTGTTGTGGGGCATCTGAAATGCCTCAAATGCAAAATGGGTGGCTATGTAAATTTGATAAACAAATACATAAACAAATTCCCATTCAAAACTGCTGTTCAAAAGAAATGATAAAAAGACTTCAAACCCAGTTGAGATAGAGCAGACATGTCAAACTCGCAATGTCACATGACATTGTGCAATGTATCGGAGCTTTTTCGTCATTGCCAGCAATGGGGTGGGCGTGGTTTCCCGATGACGGGCCAGCAGTTTAACACCCCTGAGATAGAGGAAAACAGCTGAGACAGAGGAAAAAGGCTGAAGTTCGTTCTGGATGATCTTCAATCTGTCAGATGATCTTCAATCTGCATTCCTGAATTAAAGTTCCCTGTCTTCTCCAGGCAGAGAAGAGAAAAAAAAATGCTCATGGCAGAGATCCAGTCTGTTTCTTCCCAAGTCATAACCACTGTTATAGATCATCAGCAGGACATGCAGTAATTAATTTATGCAGCAGTGATGTAGCAGTGTTGTTCTTGGTATAATTTTGAAACTTAGAAAATTGCAAACTTTAAAATGAAAAGGTTATTTTAAACATTTCTGAAGAGTGCTGTGAGAATATGTGATCCACATGTTTCCAATTTTTTTTATAGCTGTATTAGAGAGGCAAACTGTTGCAAGCCTCAAGAGTGAAATAGCAGTTATGTATAGTAGCTGTTTTACAAATGTTGCCATATTATCCAAATATAGCATTTAAAACTTTTAGCATTCGTATCCGAATATAAAAAATAGAATGCCTGAAAGCAAATTAATTCTGGATCATGCAATGCTGTGTTACATTATAGGCTCCTTTGGCTAAATCAAACAGCTGCTAATAAAATTGTTCCAATTGTCATTTTCAGCACAATGCTTCCTCAAACATAATTCTTTTATATATTCTTGGGGTGTGAAATTCTAAGCACATGTATTTATAATGAAAGTAGGGCTACATTCCAATCCTTGGCGATTGGAAACAATTATCACTGGCTTTCTTCCAAATAAGTGTTCATAAATAGAATATTGCTTAAATAGGATTCACTTCCTGAGGTCCATGTTGTTTTCTTGACAGCAGTATGGAAAGAATACATACTTGGATGTTTTTCAATTAATCAATCAATTCAGTTAATCTATAGATTATAGCTTGGGATTTCCTGCTGGTGTTGCACCCAAATACTTCAATCTGATAATGGTAGTCAATGCTAGTCCTTATTTACTGGCCACAATTGGGACCAGCAGCTTGGTTGTTAAGTGAAGTAGTAGCTAAGTAAAACTGCAACTGTACTTGTGATTTTATTTTAACTTCCTTCACTTTATAGACCTGCAAAGGTTGTAACTGCGAGGATAGGTTGTGGATTTTTCATCACTGTTGTAACTGCTAAACGAGGACTATCTGTACTTTATGTAAAAACCTGTTAAGTGATATTATTTATTTAAAAAAGATAGGCAAACGGTATTTCTTTTTCACTAGCAGTTTACTTTTTTGTTGTATAGGTTCATCAAATTGATAATAACTGTCAGAAAAAAAACCTCCAGGCTTATCAATTAATTCTGGCTATGTGACATACATAAGGACACTTTTCCTTTAAAAAGTATTCTTGGCCATGATTCTGAACGTATTTTGAATCTATCCAATTATTCAGAAGTATTATTGTCTTGGAATGCAAGTATGGATGACTGAATGTTTTCTTCCAATTAAATCCTATCTATAGAAAAATTATATTACTACGAGAACTATCATCTTTTCAGTTGTAGCAGTCCACAAAAAACAAGTATCTAAATTCATAATAATTTAGACCCATAGTTGTAATCCTTACTGTTTTCTAAATACTGCAGTTCTTGGCAAGTGTATCATGTGCTGTTATGCTTATTTTACTTTTAGAACAGGGGTTCCCAATAGGGGGTGCGAGCACGATATTCCAGGGGGTGCAAAAATTTGGGTTCTCAACATTATAGTGTATTCAAGTGCTTATTCATAATAAAGTGATTTATGTATCATGGATCAGAACAGAATTTTTGAAATGTCATGTCCTGCATGTTCCTTTCCAATATTCCTAAACTCATTTGAGAACAAAAGGCTTTCGTCCAAAGCCATTGTGAAGAAATGGTTATACCACATTTCTATTTAACATGGTGATGCGTACAGTGAAATTTAGCTAAGCAAATATGGAAATACCTTATGATTGTCATTGCTATAAAACACTCAAGGATAGAGCAGGAGCATACGAGTAGTCCTCAACTTAAAACCACAATTGAGCATATGAGTAGTCCTCAACTTAAAACCAGAATTTCTGTTGCTAAGCAAGGCAATTTTACAACTTTTTTTGCCATGATTGTTAAGTGAATTGAGTGGTTATTAAAGAAATATGGCTTCCCCACTGACTTTTTCTTGCTTGCTTGCTTGCTTGTCGGAAGTCAGCCGGGAAAGTTGCAAATAATGATCAAATTACCCTGGGACACGGCATTTGTCTTAAATACATACCCGTTGCCAAACATCTGAATTTTGACCACGTGGCTGGGCAGATGTTGCGACAATTGTAAGCATGAGGATTGAATAAAGGTAACTTTTTTTCTGTGTGTTGTAACTTTGAATGGTCATTAAACAAATGGTTGTAAGTGGAGGACTACCTGTAGTGACATCAGAGACATAAGTTGCTTGTATTTATGAGCTCATATTTAGTAAGTGTAGCATACGACTGCGGAAGTAAAATAGAAAGTGAAGGAGAAATCAGCTTAAAATAAGAGGAGATGATCTGATTCAATATGGTATTTGTTAACTAGCTCGTTAATTCCAACTTGTCTCTGTTTCACATTCTACAAGATTTTTAGTAGCCATTATGTGCATATAATTTTTCCTATGTGGCCCTTCCATTGAATTAGACCACGGATGTCAAACTTGCCATGTCATGTGATGTGTCGCGACGTGTCACAACTCTTTTTGCATTGCCGGCGATGGTGTGGGTCCGGCTTCAGTATGATGAAACCGGCCTGCGGGTTGGTAGTTTAACATCCCTGAAATAGACAGTAATCTATGAGAGTTTATACAATAATATCATTTAAAACGAGTGTGTCACAAAGTAAAATAAAACCCTCTGGAATCAGGCCATCAGTTCTACCGCAACCAGCATCACTGCTGGTGATAACTGGAAAGTAAACCATTTGAAGAGTACAGTATCTGATTTTCTTACCCTGACCTAAAATATATTCTAGAAGAAGATAGAACTTGGAATGTATGTTTGGTAAGATTAACATATATCACCAAAACCAGCAACTATATTCACTTTTAACAATTTCCCAAAGCCTACGCACCATTTTACTATTAGGGAATTTGGCAATGCAATTTACAATATGTAGCATATGAATCTTAAGATGTAGGCTACTTACTGTATATAATGTACCGGTATATGTAGTGTGGAATTAAAATCATTCACTCTCACGGGCTTGCTTTGAAAATAGAAGGACATGCAATTAAATTGAAAGGGGGGAGTTGTATCTGTTTTAGCTTCTTTATATGTCAGTTCACAAGTTGTTGAAATGGAAGTATTGATTCCCCCCCCCTTTGAGTGCATCTTCCATAGTATCAGACAGTTAGCTATTTTATAGAAAAGTGGATGATTTTACATAATTATGAAAAGAGGTACAGACTATATATTACAACTTTATAGTAAGAATTTATAGGTTTAGTAAACCACATTTTAATTTTAATTTGTACTTATCATATCTCTTAATTTTAATTTGTACTTATCATATCTCTTAATTTTAATTTGTACTTATCATATCTCTTAGTCAGTGGCATAATGCAAAATTGAAAATAAGAGTGAAAATGAAAGTAATGTATGAAGTGGGACATGAGTGACACGGTAGCAAGAAAGCTCCCGAGAATCCGAAAATATGGAGAGATATTGTAAATAGAGTTGGAGTAAATTAGATTTAGCTAATTTCCTTTCCTTTCTGGTCTCAAGGCCTTTTTTCTTTTTTGCTTCCTCGCTGTGGTTTGCATAATATTGCTTACTTCAAAAAGAAATGGCATAATGGCACATGTCTAGGTATGAAAAAGACAGGAATTTTATAATTTTAGTCTATAAATAGGGCTACCCGTTTAACCTACAAAATACTGATAGCCATTAAATGACACCCCCAGAGATGTAGAAAAATTCTAGCTTTTTGCTGCCAATTCTTCGGCCTTAGACTATAAATTTATTTTCGACTTCATTAAATTGACTTGGTCGGTCATTTTCTTATGTTCCAGAGTTTGCTGAATGGATTAATGTGCTGCAAACCCGATGATCCTGTGGAGTATTTGGAAAGCTGCTTACAAAGAGTAAAGGAGCTGGGGGGAGCAGAAAAAGTCAAATGGGACACTTTTGTCAGCCCAGAAAAAAGGTCACTGCCTCCACTTAACGGCAACCAGTCAAGAAGAGCATTTTTCAGGAATGGTAAGATAATTCTAAATTTTACATTTCAGCTTGTGGTAAGGAGACGAATATACCTGATAAATGATTACATGGTGTTTTGAGAAGGGAAAGGAACCGCAGTAGCATTTGTTTTACAGGTGGTCCTTGACTAATGACCAAAACTGGGACCAGAATTTCCATCGCTAAGCAAAGAGGTTGTTGAGTGTGTCGTGCCCCATTTTACAACCTTTTTTGCCAGAGTTAAGCAAATTATTGTGGTTGCTAAGTGAATCGCATGTTCATTAAGCAAATCCGACCTCCCCCATTGACTCTGCTTGTCGGAAGCCAGCTTGGAAGGTTGCAAATGGTGATCACTTCACTGCAAGACAATATGACCATCATAAATTCACGCTGGTTGCCAAGAGTCTGAATTTTGATCATGTGACCCAGGGGAAGCTGCAACAGTCATAAGTGTGAGAACTGGTTGTTACTTTTTTCAATGCCATTTGTAACTTCAACTGCTTACTAAATGAACAGCCCTCCACGTGGAATGCTATTCTCTGGAAAACTTGTGAGACTCCCGTTTGGTTATACTTTGGCTACAAAACTAAGATATTCCTCTCTATCCAAGAATATTTACAGTTAATTTTTATTTTGAAGTGGCCTCAGACATTGGGATAGTGATTACTATCATTTCCTTCTCTTTGATTGTATTTATGATAAAAATAAATATATTTTATTCTTTTTTAATGTTTAAATAGTTTTGTAATCTATCTATTGAACCTCAGCAATTGAATAATGGCACAATGCCATATTGTTTTCTAACTTTGCCACAACAGCATTTTAAAGAATATATTTCAGCCAAGCAATAGTGCAAAACTTGCCTGCAGAGAAGAAATGCCAAGGATACAATTAATATTGATTAGTTAAATCACCTAGAGAACAATCTCTAGATTGGCCAGGGTTTAAAACCATGCCAAAAACATGTTCATAGCTTAATATATAGTGAGAAAAATAATGTTTTAATTTTTATGAATGTACCTGTCAAGTATTTTTTTTAAAGCAATTAAGCTATTTTCAGGTTTTGTAGGAATTATAGTCAATAATTAGATGAAATGAACCAAGTAATATTTCAACAATGATTCTAAAAAGAAGCATTAAAATCAAATTAAAATTGAACTTGCAAAGACATTTATCGGTTGGTATGCACTTTCATGTCTACCTATTGATGTGAAAGGCACTGCAAGTCATTCAAGTCTAAACAACAAATTATCAGAACCTTTTTTTTGTTTCCTTCAGGCAAATGGTTAAATGACAAGATTTATCTAAAAGTGGACACATGTCCCAAACTATATAGTTAAATTTTTAGAGGTCACCTTTCTAAGTAAAGGAAACCAAATTGCTGTCTTAACGTAGCATAGAAATCATCCTGGGTCATCTATTTGTGAACCAGGAATATACAAGAAACCATTCACTTAGTTTATCTGAAACACATTGAACCCTATGATGTTCTAATCACATAACAGACAATTTATAAAGCATACCTTCCAATGAAGAGATCTCTCTTTGCAAGTAATCCCTTCATGATAGGATTCTCCAGTTTGTTAGGACAAGTGATCCTCTAGCTGAGGGTCCTCTTTTCTTAGTCCAAAACTCCCACCAAGATCATCTCTGTCAGATCACTAGGGAGTTTATGGAGTGGGAAAAAAGTCAGGAAACTCAGCAGGACTGAACCTGAATCTGAATACAGAGCAGCAGATGAAACCTTTCTTGAAAGAACTCTTTGATACTTGTCCCTTGCCAATTTCCTGTGATCTCTCGTAAGTATGAAATAGCTGTCCTCTCCAGTCTTCTTCAAGAGAGGAACTTATATCTAGCTGAATCATGATTAAAGCTTGCTGGGGACATCTTATTGAAGTAGGTTTTAGAATATCTGGCATTAATCAGAGTACATATAGCAGTCTGATGCTTGATCTTCTGCTGGCTATCATTGATTGGAACTACAATAGTTCTGTGAATAAACACTGTAGAGTATGAACTATTCTTAAAGAGGCAACCTGTTTTCTCATTACATGAATGTTTTGTTGGCTATATTTACTCATCATGCAAGCCCATAACTTATTTATGGCTTATTTAAATATAGTTTATTGCATTAACACAGCTGCACACATTTCTACAATATACTAAACCAGGGGGTGTCCAGCCTTGGTTCCTTTAAAATTTGTGGACTTCAATTCTCAAAATTTTCCAGCCACCCAGCTGTATAACATTCTGAATCTCATTTTAAATCCCACAATTTAGCTTAATTTGGGTGAACCACTCTTTGTGACATTAAATTAGGTACTAGTGTCATCAACAACAATTTTTGAAAAATGCTTTTAACCTCTGCCTGATTTACAAGAAAACTACATAGAAGTACCTACATAATTGTTGAGAGTCCAACCTGACTTGAGAGTGTAAATGTTTTTCTTTAATAGATTTGTTGAATGTATTAAAGGATTTGTAAGGAGATTGCTTAAAAAAGGATCTCAATACAGTTATGCATTTTATAAAAACATCAAATATTTCTGCTATTCATTACTGATGAGCATAAAAAGTCATGTTTCTATGTTTTGCCTTTTTTTTTGCTTTTTATGCTCTTGAGTAAGTCTTGATTCCTGTCAACAGCCTGGAAAAGCCCATTCTATTTGCTTGGCAAGATTTTAGAAGTGGTTTGCCATTGTCTTCTTCCTAAGATTGAAAAAAGAGAAGGACTGGCCCAAAGTCACCCATCTGGCTTCATGCCTAAGGCAGGCCTAGAGCTTAGGTCTCTTGGTTTCTAGCACAGTGGTTCTCAACCTTTTTAATGCCGTGACCCCCCAACCGGTCGTAAGTCGAGGACTACTCAACCGGTCGTAAGACAAGGACTACTCAACTGGTGCAGCACCGTTTGCAGAATCGGACTTTTGGCGGGCTCAGCAGGGCAGAGACAGCCTGGACAATTCCTATTGGCTTTTGAAAGCCAATAAAATTAGACTCTATTCAAGAGAGTCTATTCTATTGGCTTTCAAAAGCCAATAGAATAAAAGGGAGTAGCACAGCTAAGGAAAAGGGGGAAAATGGCGGACTGCATTGTTTGGCGACCCCCGAGAAATGGTCGTTCGACCCCAAATGGGGTCCTGACCCACAGGTTGAGAACCACTGTTCTAGCATAATCTCTTACACTACCCTCAAATGGATTCTCATTTCTGACATTACCATTTCCTATTTTACAGTGATGCCTGACAACCCCAACTTTCCTTACCGGAGGTATGATCGACTTCCTCCAATTCACCAATTCTCCATTGAGAGTGACACGGATCTCTCAGAAACAGCTGAACTTATTGAGGAATATGATGTATTCGATCCGACCAGGCCTCGACCCAAAATCATCCTAGTCATAGGTAGGAAAGCAAAAAAAATGAGGCTGACCACAAAAAAACAATAATATTTTTCTTAGATTGGCAGTGGCTTTTAACGATGGAGATGCTGGGTCAATAAATGTCAGAGTTTTTGATGCAGATGACTCCAACCTGCTGCTTAAATGTTGTAAATAAACTTCAACTGGAGCACATGCTTGCAAAGAGAGCTGAATCTCTATAGACTGAACTGTAAGAAAGATAAAAATCTAATCTGGCAGTTAAATCTAACAGGATAAAGAAACAAACTAAACATATGGCACCATTGCTGGGAATCCGTTCCTTATTACTCTTCCTTTTGTGTGTCTGGTATGTATTGATTTGGAGGAATCATGCTCCTGATTCTGCTCTGCCAGCTGAATAATCTTCTGTCAATGTCCCTAGCACCATTATCTTGAGCACACATAGGCAGTGGGAAATGGACAATTTCATCAAAATGATGAGATGAGGGTTATGATGGCTGGGAGTTACAATTCAGCAAGAATCCCAAATATGCTTTTTCACGAGGCAACTAGACTTTCTTGTTTTTCTTTGAAGACATTTCGCTTCTCATCCAAGATGCTTCTTCAGCTCTGACTGGATGGTAGGAAATGGAAGGATTTATACTCCTTGCAGACAGCTGGTCATTTGCATCCTTTTAGAGAGTCGTTGAGGCCACCTGGAGGCTTATCTGAGCTGAAGAAGCTGCTTGGATGAGAAGCGAAACATCTTCAAAGAAAAACAAGAAAGTCCAGTTGCCTCGTGAAAAACCATTTTTGGGATAACTATGTCCTGGATGACTGAGAATCTCCATAGACATTCAGCAAGAACTCCAAGAAGATGGATTGCATTGTTGTTATATCCATTTATGCAACACCACACTAAAGTTCCTTATTGTTAGGGCATTATGCCACCAATAGCTGCTGATGGTTAGATCAATAGAGAGCTAGAGGTTAACAGCAGCCTCATTTCTGCTCTGTGGTGTTTACAGTGAAAAGTACCATAGTAGTTGATAGACTAATGAGCTGCTTCTGTATACCTCCACAAAAGCTGATAAACTTACTTTATACATTCAATGATATATGAAGCTGTTTTTTTTTCCCAATCAGGTCTATTGTGTTGACTTCTAGTGTATCTTGAAGGCACTTGGTTTGGAAAGATTCTAACTCAAGTTATTTAATGATTGAAAGATTGCAATAAGCTTGACTTTGAGGCTCATTTAAGATGGTATGAGGAGGATAGTCAGGCAATGAATCTGAGAAAACCTGGTTAACCCTTTGTTTTTCCTTATAGGTGGACCTGGCAGTGGGAAAGGAACCCAGAGCTTAAAAATAGCAGAACGCTATGGATTTGAGTATATCTCTGTGGGTGAATTGTTAAGAAAGAAGATCCATAGCACAAGCAGCAATCGAAAGTGGAGTCTGATTGCTAAGATAATTACAACTGGGGAATTAGCCCCACAGGTAAAAACAACAACAAGCCTTCACAATCATATGTGTATGTGTTTTTTCCCCCCAGCAACATTTGAGAACGTACTCTTGAAACAGAAATATATATACATCTATATATCTTTTTGTGTTTACCTGTTCAAGGAAACCACAATTACTGAGATAAAGCAAAGGTTAATGCAAATTCCTGATGAGGAAGGTATCGTTATTGATGGATTTCCACGAGACGTTGCCCAAGCTCTTTCCTTTGAGGACCAAGTAAGCTGTTTATTCTTTTGGCTGCAGTTATTTAGAATATATCCTGTTTTTCATAAGAGAATAAATGTATTTAAGGTATTTCTGTACTATTTTGCCTAGCAAATTTGCATCTCAAGTAGTTAAACAATAGAAAAATAGGAATAGCACTAAAACAAGAGCGTATTGTATTATATAACTATTCATATTGAAGATGGTTGGAGGTAAACTTTTTAATGATCTTTTTGATGTTTGATTTTTAATGTCACTTCTAAAAATTTCACCCCCACCTTTTCATATTTGTTGTAATTTTGTATCTTACCTTTTTTGTTTTCTGAAATTTAATAAAATTCTTTTTTTAAAAAAAGGAATATGAACAAAAGCAGGAAAACCAATCCAAGTAAAGTAATTCATCCAGTATTCATAAGATAGTGTCTAAGAAATATAATCTATTTACTTAAACAAAGCGATTATTCTCTCCACCCCATCCCATAATTATGTTTTAAAATTTTTCAGAATTGTTGTAGGGGCTTTATAAAGAGAAGAGACATTGGGGAAAAAAAATGACAAAAGCAATGGTGACATTTTTTCCATCTCTTTTTTTCTCAAGGCAGGTATTCCGTTCCTACAATCCTACTCTTTTCTCCCCCCCCCCATTGCAATGCCTTGTATTTTGCTATTTCTGATGAAAGATTAAAGTAGAATGTGGCAAGGAGGTTCACATGCATGTGAAAAAGAAACAGTGCTGTAGATAAATGGCTGATGAATGAATTTTATCAGTGCAACTTATTTTACAAGCATCTTCACTTTAATTAGTGATTATTACTTCAGTTAATTCACAAGCTCACATTTCCAGGTGAGGGATTCTACTGGAGTCAGCAACTCCTAATTGATAAGGTGGGCAAATGCCAATGTATTGCAATGGATTTCTGTTTGTATTCATCTTCTCTTTTGGGGGGGCAGGTGGGAAGTTTTTATTTCTTTGTGATAAATATAATAAAAAAGTCTGAAGAAGTTCATGCAGGCACTACTACAAAGAAATAAGCTACAAGGAATCAAATGATGAAACTTGGTAGTCTTCGGCTTACAACCACATTTGGGGTCATGGTTTCTGTTGTTAAATAAAGCAGTTGTTATTGCTTGTCGTTGCCTGCAGTAGTGCACTTAACCACTACACCACCAGATATATCTGGTGCTAAAAAATAAATGTGGCATTTGCATTGTGATTTCATAGCACATGCTGTGATTGGCAACCTCTAATCCCATGTTAGGCTCAAGTGTGTAAATCACAGAGTTTGCATTGGGACATCACAAGCCACATTTTATCATCTACAGCATGGGTGTTAAACTCGCTGTGTCACGTGACGTGTTGCCACGTATCATGACTTTTTTTGCATTGCCGGAGCTGGGGTGGGCGCGGCCTCCTTGTGATGCAACCAGCCTGTGGGCCGACAGTTTGACACCCCTGATCTATACAAATACCTAAGAAAGTCTATGGTAATCACGAAGATATGGCAATCTATCAGTCGATTCACATTCTATGTATTGGAAGCAAAACTTTTAACCTGACTGCTGATGAGAAACTAGTGTAATTGCTTCACCATTATGTTATGTGTAGTATCCAGATGCTACTGTATGTTTTGCAGTAGTTTCCTCTTTCAAATTAATGAGCATTGACCCAGGTTAGATTAACTCCAAGGTCAACTTCAGACTAACACTCAAGTAAGCAATACTCCAATCAAGAAACTGCCAAAGAGCCATTAGTAAACAGCCCCCACCCACCCAGACAGCAAACAGCACTCCTTACTGGCATTGATGATGTTACCTAGTTAGGGAAATGAAACATCTGCAAGAAAACAAGCAAGCTTAGAGAGCAACAAGGACCCCACATTTCAACCCAGAGCTACAAATATTCTCCTTCATTGACTCAGGTTATTTATAAATACCTAATTATAGGCTGATAAGAGAACATTTTGTTGACACACATTTGGGAAATCTGATTCCATGATTTCAGAAGCAGCCCAGAAAGTAGCTAATAATGGCAGTAATCTTGGCTGTGTAATTAAATTGTTCCAAAGAGAAAGAAGATATCCAAGTTAACAAAACATATTTTTCATACATCAATAATTGGAAAAGCAACAAGAAAAGGTTATTCTTTAATTGCACATTTTCAGTTCTCATTAGAGCACAGTTTCAGCAGCACGTTGTTTTCACAAGAAACCACAGCCTGGACATTATTGCAAGCTGCTAATTCAGAATGCAAGTTTGAATCTGCCTTTGGTAATATGCGCATTTGGGTGACCCCTAGAGGGGATGCAGTGGCCTAGGGGGGACATGGTGGTCTAGTGGTTAAGATGCTGGGCTTATTGACCAGGTGGTTAGCAGTTTGAGACCCAAGTACCCGTGACGGGGTGAGCTGCTCTCCCCCCAGTTCTTGCCCACCTAGTAGTTAGAAAGCATGCAAATGCAAGTAGTTAATAGGTACCACTTCGGTGGGAAGTTAACAGCAATCCGTGTGTCTTTGCATATAGTTATGCTGGCCAAATGACCATGGAAGTGTCTTTGGGCAATAATGATTCCCTTGGCTAGGAAATGGAGATGAGCAAGACCACCTAGAGTCAGATACGACTGGTCAGGGGAAACCTTTCCCTTTTAAAATATGCACATTAGGTAATATCTTTTTTATGAAAGAAATTGTAGTTTATTTTATTATGGTTCTTTTTTAAATACAATAAAAATGTAGCAAAAAAAAACAAATTCTGAGACACTACAATTAAAAAACAACAGTAGTTCATTGTCTGCTGTATGAAATTAAGATCCTTCAACATATGACCTTAATTCGTGACAGTGATTTATATTGCAAATGATTGCAAGATGCTTGGGTAGCAAAAATGGGTTGTATATTAAATAGATTCTTATGAACATTTAAGGATATAAAAGGGTTTTACATCCTACTAATCATACATTTAGTTTCTTTGGTTACATTCCTTGGTGGAATGTAAAAAAGCTAGCTATGTTTTGTGAGTCATGGTTTATGGCAAAAGTGGGCAGGAATATTATCACTCCTTCCCCCCCCCCCCGTGTTAAATTAGGGGTTTATACTACAATTTAGATGTTACTTCAGTTTTCAAAATGGTTGAAAATAGTGGTGTTGCTTCTTAAAACCATCCTGTTACTGAAATTTGATGAGGCAGTTGTAAGGATTTGAAAGATTCAAATTCTCACCCTGTGGTTATACATTGCTTGCTCCTAGTTTATAGCCTCAATATCTGTGTGAATCAGGCCACTATTTATTTAGTGTCTGTCTGGAAGCCAACCTTCCTTTTCCTTTTAGCTATTTTACAAGATGAGAATTTCATTATAATTTATTTCAAATTAAATCATACTGTGCCATTCATCTGTTTGGAATTTATTTCCCCTTCTAATCAGATCTTGCAAAGTACAGTGAGACTAAATTAGGCAAAGGCCAGCTCCAGGGATACGTTCTCATAGTAGGCTGCTCCTTCAGAGCTTTATATTCTTTTTCGCATGGGCCTTTTCAAGCATGCATGCACTTTGTCAAATACCAGGTCCCCTTGAGCTTCCAAACTCCTTTGCTGTCGGATTCTCCTGCATCTGCCTCAACCTGAACTAATTATTTTCCAGGCATGATTCTCAAACTGTCTCTTCAGTAAAATTTATTGAGGAGAAAAAAATAAGGGCACAAAAATTCAGGCAACTGAACTATTTCCCATCTAAAAAATCAATATATTCTTATGGTACACTAGGTTGGAGACTGCCTTATTTCTTCCTAACTGCCTTCCAGAGAATAGTAACATGTGGCTGATCTCTTCACTAATGTAGTTGGTTATTTGTATAATCTTCCCTTATCAGGATGAGGACTAACCATTGCATCTTCTGCTTGAAGGGAAATGCATTTGCCTCCATCCCCAGCGAGGGAACAAACCTTGCTTTGTTTGGAAGAATGCCATAAATTAACCATTTCCCATCTGTATACTTGGAATAGCTCCTTAAACAAAATCCCTTTAAAGGCACAGTTTTCCACTTTTTTTTCTCCTCCCATCTTTGCTCTCTTCTCCGCACATTTTTTTTACATTATTAAACCTTTCCGCAATTTTCATAAAAAAAATGTCTGTAGTTCCTACCACATAGACATTGGCATCTGAAGCACACCCATAATTTTTATTCATAATTTTCTTTAAAAAGGGCAACATTCTAACCTTGAAGATAAAAGATGAATGGTTTTAGGTTATGAATTCTTCTTTCCCTGTTAGATGATTAATGATTTCAGAATCACATATCTTGTCACGCCTAGGACTATGGGATGGAGGTCTTCCATTTCATCAATAAATATCTGAGAACAGTTTCAAATTCTGAGTCTACCTTGGACTAGAATGCACAGAAGGAACAGGATCCTTCTTTAGATGATCAAGATAGGACAATTGAAACAGAAATTGTTCAAAGACCATTCTTGCAGAATTGTGGGTGATCTTCCATACTATTTATCAGCCTTTTGCTAAGAACTATGATTGCTTTCCTCAATTCCAGTTAATTGTTCAAGGAAGTGCACTGGAGGAAGAGGATCTTTCTAGCCTAAGCATGTTTATAGAGAAGTAAGTTGCTTACTCATTGAGTCTTTCTTCTAGGTAAGTGATTAAGTGATTTCATCTGCCAGAAGGGATGACATGCAGATAATTTGTACTAATTATCTAAATTGGCTCTTTTTTACATCATGAGCAAATCATGAAGTCCTTCCTCTTTTTTTTCTCAATATGTTATATAAAAATAACAAGATAATTGCATTGGCATTAGAGATCAACATAGCCATACCACCATATGGGCATTTCAGCCTTCAGCGTTTCAAAGCAATGAATTCTCAAACAGTCACGTTTGTCTCGATCCCTGTCTTTTACCAAGGATTTAGCTCATAAAATCTTAATATTTTTTTCTAGTATTCACTGGTGTGTATAATTATTCACTTCCTCCATTCCTCTGGGGAGAAAAATAAGATAGATTAATTAAAT